GTGGCATGTAGCTCCAAGATCGATCTGTTGACATGGCCAACAGCATCGGGAGGGACGTGCAGGTCACTGAGGGAGCGTGAGCCCAGAAGGTCACATCCATTATGAGACAGCAAAAGTTTTGTTTCACAAAGACACTTCCCTGCTATATTCACAGGAGATTCCAGAGGCAGAAAAGGGAGAGAGAAGTTAAATATGGCTGATAAACACGAAAACCAAAAAGAGAGACAGAAATGCACTGAAACCATTATTTTTGGCTGGTTGACCACCTGGACAGCCACAGTGTTTATGGCCTCTGTGAAGAGCTCAGCTTCATCTGGCCACCAGTATTTGTTGTGTTACAAGAAAAAAAAACCTGACTCTGATCCGTCTCTTTGGCTCCATCTCACTTGCCATCAGGGACTTAGCTGATCTAGCAAATCGGCCTCGCATTTACATCCAAGACAAACAAGGACATGCAATTCGATATGCAAGCCCTGCAGAACTAATGGATGAGGAAGACAAGCATGCCATCGGTCATTTCATAACATCCTTTCATGAGCTCACAAGGTAACACACCACACTACAGGCAGCTGCAGAATAATTCAAAACACAAATATTTATTATACATTGTCACAAGATAAAATTACTGACAATGCTTATTTGCAGTTTGCAATAAAATACTTTAAGATGCAGTTTTTTGCTTTTACACACTTTAAGACAATAGGTGTGACAACTGTCCTTAACAGTCAAGAGTGTGTGTAACAGACTCATTTTATAGAATCATTAGAAAACATGTTTCACTTTATTAGTAAATGTTGTGAGTCATGCATTTATTGATGCATTCATTTTGTGAAGAGGAAACTACATTGTACATATTTTCTGAATGTATTGCCACACAGACTGGTGAAACAAACATGACATAATCTGTCCTCCTATCTCGTGCCCGACTCAGAGAGACTTCAAAATGTATACAAAACAGCAAGCAATATATAGCAATAAATGAAATCAATTTTCTATTTACTTCATAGGTTACTTCCTTATTTCTTACATTTGTAAAAGTTTCTCTTCTCAGTTTGCTTTAACAGTTTCAGTAGCGGTTTCTACTGTACAGTATGTAGCTTCTCTGTAACACTGAAACCTCAGCTACTTCTGATCTATCAACTGTAAATCAGCCTAAATACACTGATGACATGGTACAAAAATCATCGACGCCTAATCATCTACACCAGATACATATTTATGCTTCCAAATACATACAAACATTCCAGAGGACAACACAAATGGAAGAATAGTCATGTACTTACAAGACAAAGACAGCCTTATCCTGTTTTCCCCCCAGACTTTGCAGAACAATAGCAATGTTGTAAGCGAAAGAAACGGGTGAGAGTTGGAGGAAAGCAGAAGGTCATTCCATTCAGAACTGAGACCCTGTTGGATGAAAAGCTGAGTAAACAGCTTACTGAGAGAAGGGGAAAGGGGGAGAGACTGAGAAAGAGGGAGGGGGGCAGAAAATCCAGACAGCAAGCCAGAGGGTGACTAGAAGAGAAAGGAAGAGCGAGTGTCAGAGCGAATGTAGGGGGGGAAACAGGCAGGCAGTAAGGACCAGGAGACAGAGTGAGAGAAAGAGGGGAGGAAGGCATGTGACAAAGAAAGCATGTTTAAAGAGGTATTTCTAATCTGTACTCGCACTGCCTCTCTGATACGCCTACTGTTTCAGGACCAAGGACAGAGTACTACAGAACAGCAGCTGGGATGTCAAAATAAAAGAATTAAAGGAGCCAATGCCAGAAAAGAATAAGAAAAAAATTATAACAAACAAGATCATAAATGTGAAATATCTTAATAAATGTATCCTTACCAGTAAATTATGGGACCACCAGTTTACTCTGTAAAAGTGTAACTTCACCAAAAGATGCTTACTGATCAAATGCTGATGTAGATCAATGCACTGTTGTTCAAGAATTCAACAAAGAGATCATCTTGCATGCTGGGTACATCAGGGCCAGCTGCTGTTATCTTCCTGCCTACCTCAGCTGCAGCTGTCAGAACTCCGTTAGCCCCAGAGAAACTACTGATCGGATGACTGGTTCCAGCATCTATGAATTTCTCATTTCCACCAACTTTCACTAAACCTTTACTGTTTCCACTAAAATTCACCACCTAAGCAAATTTTCATTTAAACTGAAATAGGAGTGCGTGTCAGGCTCTCAAATTCAAGCCACCACTGGAACAAGTAATTTCTGGGGCTGTGAACCCACTTTCACAAGAGAGGAAGAAAGGGCGTGTTGGAGTGGGAGGAAACACTGCCCTCTGCTGATGTATATGCTTTAGACTGTGTTGAATAGCATCAGTAAGCTGTTAGAAATCCAATCTAAGCCTAAATTAAAACAAGATGCACCAGTGGAAGGTTTATTAACGGAAAGGATGCAGATGTGACACCAGCACTAACAGAAATCCAAGTTACTGACTCAGGACTCTGGTCAGCTGTACATAGAATCTCATGGCTGACATAGACAGACTCAAAAATCACGTTGATGCAGAAATTTAATAGTACTGGATAACAGTAGCCATAGAGGGTACTGGATGTAAAGATTTTTAAAATGACACTGCCTTCATAAGTGAGGCGAAAGGTGGCAATATAAAAGCACAACCACAGATGGTAACAAAAACAAAAAGCCATATTAAGGATTTCAAGATATAACTATAGTCTAGGTCAACACACATGATGTGCCCAGGGGTTACACTGTGCTTTCCTAAGGGGACAGGAGCTCTCTGTTCCACTGGCAGAAATGGGAGGACAGATTAATGAATGTCACTGATCCCCATTTGTCTAACATCACAGACAAAGCATGAGATGCTCTGAGAAAGTATGATGGCAAAATTTAATCTAATACCTGATCCACTGAGGTATTAAAGCATTACTCTCAGTAGCAGTGGTATTAGTAGATACTTGATTTTCTGTAGACAGACTTGCACAGTGTCCTTTTTCCTCACATTCTCTTAAATCCTCCTCCTACAAATAGATTAGCTGTGAAAGAAAATAAGCTTTAAAGCCATTACTGAGTCAAAGTACCAACAATTTACTGTTTCATAAAATACAAGTCTAATGCACAGCAGCTAATTACAGCACTAATGCAGGAATTACAAGCCAATTCAGTTTTTCGTTTTTTTTATTTTTTTATTTAGCAGACATTTTAGGAGGTTCTGATTAACAGGGTAATCTCAACTCTTAGACTCCAGACTTAAAATTCATATCAGAAATCCTGCATTGCAAACTGGACATACAGGAGTCAGTGAGGGACTGGTGAAAGACGTGATTCAGTTGCATTATGGGAATTGTGGAATCCTGTATTTTAGTAGCATGAGCTATACTAGGAACTAAAAGCCGGAATATCACGGCCTCTGGTGCTAGCACCGCTCTTTTTTTAAATCTGTCCCCCAGCTTTACTGAACTGTAGGTCTATACAGTGCATCATCAAGTGACAACTGCTTACTAGATGGTGAGACAGAGGAAAAACTGTTGAGTCAGTGAATTCAAAAGTAAATGGCACCGATTTTTCAAACGCACAAGCTAATTACACATATAAAACCAACAGGTAAGTACAACAGGTCACCTCAGAGCACACTGCTGAAGCAAACTTCACTGGACAGTGAGCAAATAAGAGAAATGTTAACTAATATGTTTTGCCATGCTGCTTTCAATATCATCTTGCCCTCTGCTTCTGTGAAAATACTTCTAATACACATTGCAAAAACATGCTTATACTTTAAGCTTATGTGTGGATCTTTTTATAACAATTAAAAATAATATTGTCTATTATAACCCAAAGCTTCATATTAATAGCATCATATTTCAATAGCTACTATACTGTATTTCATGTAGCTGATGCCAAGACTATCTCTAATAACACTTCAATTCACTACATTTCAAACAGAAACATTCTTTCTAACTGATTTTCCATCATCTTCCAATATATGAACATTTCTCTCCTAACTGGAAGTGCTGCATTAATATGCACTCACATTCTCTCCCAGTCTATATTTAGTGATCTGACTTTCAAATGGAGGCCAGAGAAATATATAGCCTGTCTCAGTCTCTGCAGACTTGTCTGCAAAATAGTAGGGCAGAGAGGCTTTGGGATGATGCCAGAGTGAAACGTGAAGAAAAACGGTCCTCCCAGATTTTTCCCACAGCCTCTGACCAGCAACACCTAATACAACCGTACGAGAACAACTCCTCTTTGAAAGGAGAGTGTTGTGCTGTCAGGAGGAGACTGAATGGAAGCTCAGTTCTCACGGCACCATTAGCATACTCTCCGATTTGTTTTCCAACTGGACTGAGCAGACAGTGCTGCCCTCTCCTGGTTCACACTGAAATCTGAATTACATTAAAGCTGCTGAAGCACCAACTGTGCTGAATATCAAATGCAAAGTG